GTTGGTTGGTTTTATAGTTACACCTACACACTCTGGCGTGTGTTAGTTGGAGCTGGTTTTTACAGCCACACCCACTCATGTGTTGAAGCTGCTTGGTTTTTATAGCTAGCCACTCCACACCTCTGTGTTGCTACAGTTGGTTGGTTTTATAGCCACACCCACACCCTCATGTGTTAGTTGTTGTTTTATAGCCACACCTACACTCATGTGTTAGTTGGTTGGTTTTATAGCCACACCTTGGCCACTCATGTGTTGCTGGTTATTTCAGCCACACCCACTACACCTCAGCTAGTTGTTGGTTTTATAGCCACACCCACACTCATGTGTTAGTTGGTTGGTTTTATAGCCACACTCCACACACACCTGTGTTAGTTGGTTGGTTTTATAGCCACACTCCACACACCTGGCTGTTAGTTGGTTTTATAGCTACCTACACTCATGTGTTAGTTGGTTGGTTTTATAGCCACACCCACACCTCATGTGTTGGGGTTGGTTGGTTTTTTATAGCCACACCTTGGCACACTCATGTGTTAGTTGGTTGGTTTTATAGCCACACCTACACTCATGTGTTAGTTGGTTGGTTTTGTGAGGTAGCCGCCACTCCACACTCATGTGTTAGTTGGTTGGTTTTTAGAGTAGCCACACACCTACTACACCTCATGTGTGTTAGTTGGTTGGTTTTATAGCCACACCTACACTCATGTGTTAGTTGTTGGTTTTATAGCCACACTCCACACACCTGGGCGTGTTAGTTGGTTGGTTTTATAGCCACACCCACACCTCATGTGTGTTATTAGCTGGTTGGTCGAGTAGCCACCACACCTCATGTGTTAGTTGGTTGGTTTTTATAGCCACACCCACACCCACATGTGTTAGTTGGTTGGTTTTATAGTTTCAGCCACACTCACACCTCATGTGTGCTGCTGGTTGCCTTTTATAGCCACACCCACACCCCATGTGTTAGCAGTTGGTTGGTTTTTATAGCCACACCTCAGTGTGTGTTACAAGTTAGTTGGTTTTATAGCTACACACTCACACACTCATGTGTTAGTTGGTTGGTTTTATAGCTACACTCCACACTCATGTGTTAGCCGCTTGGTTTTATAGCCACACCCACACCTCTCATGTGTGTTAGTTGGTTGGCCTTGCAGTAGCCACCTGGGCCACACCTTACATGTTAGTTAGTTGGTTTTATAGCCACACTCCACACCTGGGCGCGTGTTTAGTTGGTTGGTTTTATAGCCACACCTGGCCACCTTCCATGTGTTAGTTGGCTGGTTTTATAGCCACACTCCACACCTCATGTGTGTTAGCAGTTGGTTGGTTTTATAGCCACACCCACACACTCATGTGTGTTAGTTGGTTGGTTTTATAGCCACACCCACACTCATGTGTTAGTTGGTTGGTTTTATAGCAACACCCACACTCATGTGTTAGCTGGTTGGTTTATAGCCACACCCACACACCATGTGTGTTAGTTGGTTGGTTTTATAGCAACACCCACACACACCTCTCATGTGTTAGCTGGTTGGTTTCTAGCCACACTCACACCTCATGTGTTGGGGTTGGTTGGTTTTATAGCAACACTCCACACCTCATGTGTTAGTTGTTGGTTTTATAGCCACACCTACACACTCATGTGTTAGCTGGTTGGTTTTATAGCTACATTCCGGCCACCTCATGTGTTAGTTGGTTGGTTTTATAGCCACACCCACACCCCCTGCGTGCTAGTTGCTGGTTTTATAGCAAATACCCACACCTTCATGTGTTAGTTGGTTGGTTTTATAAATTGGCCACCCACACACCTCGGGGCGTGTTAGTTGGTTGGTTTTATAGCCACACCTACACTCATGTGTGTTAGTTGTTGGTTTTATAGCTGGGCCACCTGGCCACTCATGTGTGTTGCTGGTTGGTTTTATAGCTACACTCCACACTCTCATGTGTGTGTTGCTAGCTGTTGGTTTTATAGCCACACTCACACTCATGTGTTAGTTGGTTGGTTTTATAGCCACAATTCCACACTCCTGGCGCGTGTTAGTTGGTTGGTGAGTAGTAGCCACACCCACACCTCATGTGTTAGTTGGTTGGTTTTATAGCCACACCCACACCTCATGTGTTAGTTAGCTTTTCGGTTTTATAGCCACACCTGGCCACACCTCATGTGTTAGTGTTGGTTGTTTTATATGCCACACTCCACACACCTCATGTGTTAGTTGGTTGGTTTTTGTATAGCCACACTCCACACTCTCATGTGTGTTAGTTGGTTGGTTTTATAGCCACACCTGGCCACACCTCATGTGTTAGCTAGTTGGTTTTATAGCCACACCCACACCTCATGTGTTAGTTGGTTGGTTTTTATAGCCACACCCACACTCATGTGTTAGTTGTTGGTTTCCATAGGCAACACTCCACACCCATGTGTTAGCTGGTTGGTTTTTATGCTGGCCACCCCTCATACCATGTGTTAGCTTGGTTGGTTTTATAGCCACACTCTACACCTCATGTTAGTTGGTTGGTTTTATAGCAACACCCACACACTCTCATGTGTGTTAGTTGGTTGGTTTTATAGCCACACCTACACTCATGTGTTAGTTGGTTGGTTTTATAGCAAATACTCCACACTCATGTGTTAGTTGGTTGGTTTTATAGCCGCCACTCCACACACTCATGTGCTGTTGGTTTTATAGCCACACATTCTCCCACACCTCATGTGTTAAAGGTTGGCTGGTTTTATAGCCACACCCACACCTCATGTGTTAGCGCCAGCGTTGATTTTATAGCCAGCCACCCACACCCATGTGCTAGTTGCTGGTTTGTAGCCACACCTTCACACTCATGTGTTGCCAAGGCTAGGCCAGTGCTGATTTTTATAGCCACACTCCACACTCATGTGTTAGTTGGGTGGTTTTATGGCCACACTCCACACTCATGTGTTAGTTGGTTGGTTTTATAGCCACACTCCACACTCATGTGTTAGTTGGTTGGTTTTATAGCCACACTCCACACTCATGTGTTAGTTGGTTGGTTTTATAGCCACACTCCACACTCATGTGTTAGCTGATTGGTTTTATAGCCACACTCCACACTCATGTGTTAGTTGGTTGGTTTTATAGCCACACTCCACACTCATGTGTTAGTTGGTTGGTTTTATAGCCACACTCCACACTCATGTGTTAGTTGGTTGGTTTTATAGCCACACTCCACACTCATGTGTTAGTTGGTTGGTTTTATAGCCACACTCCACACGCATGTGTTAGTTGGTTGGTTTTATAGCCACACTCCACACTCATGTGTTAGTTGGTTGGTTTTATAGCCACACTCCACACTCATGTGTTAGTTGGTTGGTTTTATAGCCACACTCCACACTCATGTGTTAGTTGGTTGGTTTTATAGCCACACTCCACACTCATGTGTTAGTTGGTTGGTTTTATAGCCACACTCCACACTCATGTGTTAGTTGGTTGGTTTTATAGCCACACTCCACACTCATGTGTTAGTTGGTTGGTTTTATAGCCACACTCCACACTCATGTGTTAGTTGGTTGGTTTTATAGCCACACTCATGTGTTAGTTGGTTGGTTTTATAGCCACACTCCACACTCATGTGTTAGCCAGTTGGTTTTCATATTCATGTGAGTGCTGGAGCAGGATATTCAACACTGGGTAGTGTGTTAATTATCATAGGAAAGCTTTTTCATCAGGGAGTGCATTTTATAATCTTAATTAAGGGGTTCATCAGTAAGGCCAAGTAGACCAAGATGACCAGCATCTGAGAGACCACAAGCCCAAGATATTTGGGGAAAGAAACAATGAATATGGAAGGTGACACTGAAGATCCCCCTCAAGGTTCACAGTGCCATGAAGATTTTAAAAGAGACTGTCTTGTAAAGCATGTGGGAGATCACCCATCAGAGACACTTTTTAACACAGGAGAGAAGTTCCAGTGTTCAGAATGTTCTAGATCATTTACTAAAAAATCTGGTTTATTACAACATATGAGGGTTCACACAGGAGAGAAGTTCCAGTGTTTAGAATGTTCTAGATCATTTCCTAAAAAATCTGGTTTAGTACAACATATGAGGGTTCACACAGGAGAGATGTTACAGTGTTCAGAATGTACTAGTTCATTTCCTAAAAAATCTGGTTTAGTACAACATATGAGGGTTCACACAGGAGAGATGTTACAGTGTTCAGAATGTACTAGTTCATATACTCAGAAATCTCATTTAGTACAACATATGAGGGTTCACACAGGAGAGATGTTCCAGTGTTCAGAATGTACTAGTTCATTTACTTATAAATCTAGTTTAGTACAACATATGAGGGTTCACACAGGAGAGATGTTCCTGTGTTCAGAATGTACTAGTTCATTTACTTATAAATCTAGTTTAGTACAACATATGAGGGTTCACACAGGAGAGAAGTTCCAGTGTTCAGAATGTTCTAGATCATTTACTTATAAATCTAGTTTACTTCAACATATGAGGGCTCACACAGGAGAGAAGTTCCAGTGTTCAGAATGTACTAGTTCATTTACTTATAAATCTAAATTAGTTGAACATATGAGGGTTCACACAGGAGAGAAGTTCCAGTGTTCAGAATGTACTAGTTCATTTACTTATAAATCTAAATTAGTTGAACATATGAGGGCTCACACAGGAGAGAAGTTCCAGTGTTCAGAATGTACTAGTTCATTTACTTATAAATCTAAATTAGTTGAACATATGAGGGTTCACACAGGAGAGATGTTCCAGTGTTCAGAATGTACTAGTTCATTTACTAATAAATCTAAATTAGTTGAACATATGAGGGTTCACACAGGAGAGAAGTTCCAGTGTTCAGAATGTACTAGTTCATTTACTTATAAATCTAATTTAGTACAACATATGAGGGTTCACACAGGAGAGAAGTTCCAGTGTTCAGAATGTACTAGTTCATTTACTTATAAATCTAGTTTAGTACAACATATGAGGGTTCACACAGAAGAGAAGTTCCAGTGTTCAAAATGTACTAGTTCATTTACTTATAAATCTAGTTTAGTACAACATATGAGGGTTCACACAGGAGAGAAGTTCCAGTGTTCAGAATGTTCTAGATCATTTTCTAAAAAATCTAGTTTACTTCAACATATGAGGGTTCACACAGAAGAGAAGTTACAGTGTTCAAAATGTACTAGTTCATTTACTAATAAATATAAATTAGTTGAACATATGAGGGTTCACACAGGAGAGATGTTACAGTATTCCGAATGTACTAGTTCATTTACTTATAAATCTAAATTAGTTGAACATATGAGGGTTCACACAGAAGGGAAGTTCCAGTGTTCAAAATGTACTAGTTCATTTACTAATAAATATAAATTAGTTGAACATATGAGGGTTCACACAGGAGACACACCATATCATAGTACAAAATGCAATAAATCCTTCACACAGAAGTGCCGTATGGTAAGGCACATAAGAGTTCATACAAGAGAAAAATTTCAGTGTTGTGATTGTCAAAAATGTTTTCCCAGTAGAGTGAGTCTCACAAGGCATAGTAGAACTCATCTGACTTCTTACAGTAAAGTTCATGCAAAAGATAATAAATGCCACAAAAAATATGATAATAAACAAAGGCTGAAAAAATGTTGTGAGGAGAAGTCAGGGAGTGGTAGGAGACTCACCCAGAGGAACCACCACCTTGGTGCTCTCGGGAGCAACACAACAGAAAAACGAGCGGGCAATGACCTGAACAGTCCAGAGCCGAGTCACAATAATTGTCGGGAACTGCCCACTTCCTCTCATAGTGAAGATGAGTATAGCCTCTCTTACCAGTGTAAGACAAAGGCTGTGTGTAAACTAGCAGATAATGACCTTGTAGTGAGTAGATCAACACATTTCATAGACTGGTCAGGTCATGGAGTTAAAGATGAACCTGTTGATGGTCAACCTTCAATCTTAAGTATATCAGAAGATCCACTTCAATCTGAGATGGTTCCTCCATCTTCTATAAAATTAGAGAGCCTTAAGGAGGAATTTGAGTTTCTTGAGGAAGAATTGTGAAACCTTGTTAACATTTTGTGTGTAATGCAAGCTTGTGTATGTTTATATTAATAAATATATACTGAGAACCCAACTGTTTATCCTCACAATGTATATAATAAAAGCAGTGGGCAGCAACTTGATAAACAATTCCACTGTAGATCTTATACCTTTATGTACTGCCAGATTACTTTTACCCCTTCGGTGTTGAACTAAAATGGTTTAGTTTACCGTAAATTGAAGAATAAAGATAAACAAGTGATAACATATCCTGAGAACATTGTGGACTTGTTGAAATATTAATTTGAGAAACTTGAATTTCAGTGCATATCATTGTTTTCTCATTTTGACTGTCGGTCACATTATTAAACAACAAATATAAGATAATTGGTGGAAGTCTAAAGATATACCGTATATCTTGGCTTATAAGATGGAATTTGAACATTAAAAAAACCTGCCCAAAGTTAGGGGGTCGTCTAAACCACCAAGTGTAAAATTCTTACCTCTTAAATATTGTGGTTTAGCGTGTCAAGAGTGGTGATGGAAACATCGTAAGCCACTCGCAAGGTCTTACCACTAATTATTTTATACTGAAACTTACGTTTGGCAAGCTGGATTCAAATTAAGATTACCGGTATATTAAAATAATAAAAATGTATTATAAACCTGTCTAACATACCATAAAAGAGAATTATACCCCTGTAATAAACACAGCTATCATCACACACCCCTCCCCACACCCCCCCCCCATTTGCCAGTGAGGAGACAAGAAAGGGAAAGTGACCGTTAGATTGGGCTATTTTTAGCCTTGGAGGTGGTCAGTAATGCATATCAGTATATTTACTGATAATAATACTTAAAATTTATTTTTTTACAAGGAATATTCAGTAAATGACTGCATTAATTCTTGAAACTACTGACAGTTAAATACAGACGCTTAAGTGACGTCACTAGTGTTTACACTACACCAGCTGGTAACATTTGATGCCATTACTTGAAGTGAATTGGCCTTATTTAAAGTAACTAACCATAAATAAATACAAAAGGTAAAAAAAAGATCAAAAGTGAGATATAATATACAGGTTGTACCTCTCTAGTCCGGCATTCTGTGGTCCGGAACGATTTTAGTTTGTCCAATAGGTAGATAGGCAGATTTTTTATTTTTTTTATTTTTTTTGCTTCTCTGAATTATTATTATTATTACAGGAGTATTAAATTTTTGCCCCTCAGGCCCCAATGCGGGCCAGTGACCTATGCCCGGGTGGGCTAATCCCCTTAAAAAAAAAAAAAGCCCCGGGAAATTAAGTTTTGTTTACATACGGCAGTTCGGCTGCACTCAATCTCTCTCTCTGCTTGCCTATCCCAGCCGTTACCAACGCCTCTTCCCTCCCAGACCAGATATCCCTCCTCCTAGTCACAGGCCTGGCATTTGACATTATTAGGGACCTGCCACTCTTTGCCATAAACAGATAAAATGTACCGGGAACTTTCCCCCCACACACTCATCATTCTCTCACTTTATGTAACTTGACAGAACCTATGACCCTTCAGGCTTTTACGCCCTTAATGTACGAGTCATAAAGGCAAGTATGAACTTTTCATACTTCCCTGTTGGGCGCTGTAAACGCTTCTGCGCTTCACCTTGCACAGGATGTAAGGGGGTGCCCAATAAACTTGCCCCCTCGGGGGCAAATCTGAAATCTGAATCTGCTTGTCTATACAGAGTACAACATTTAACCCTTCAATATATATGAGCAGTAAATAAGTGTTGCTTTCATATTCTTATGTCGAGTAATGACGATATATTTTCACAGGTGCGCACTTACATACGAGCAGTCTCACTTTTTTTTTACCATTAATAGTTAGCTACTTATATTGTTCCATTTATTAACATTAAATAACATTACAGGTACTTTAAGCAACCATATTCATTTTTTACATTAATTTTACTACAGCTACAATCAGGGTCTTATTTTCTTCAGTTTTATATGTAGAACCAATCAGTCACTGGTTTCGTAAGCTTTAACATAAACAATGCCGGCAGCCGTCTCGTCTCCTCTAATATTCCACGTATTATTAATAAATTGTATTGTTAATTTTGCACACACGTACATTAATTCAATAAAAACAAATTCATAAGCATTAATTAAAATATATATGAACAGTAAATTAGTGTTGCTTTCATATTCTTATGTAAAGTAATGACGATATGTTTTCACGTGTGTGCATGCGCACTTACATATGCGATCTCTCTTTTCTTTGCCATTATCGTTAGCTACTTCTATTGTTCCATTTATTAACATTAAATAATATTACTTAAAACAACCATATTAATTTTACTACAGCTACAACCAAGGTTTTATTTTCTTCAGTTTTATATGGAGAACCAGTCAGTCACTGGTTTTGTAATCAACAAAAACAATGCTGTGTCATTTCCTCGTGTGTTTTAATAATCTACGTATTATTAATGAATTGTATTGCTCATTTTGCACACAAACATTAATTCAATAAAAAATGACATTCAGTAATAAACAATAATGTATCTTTTGTACATAAGAGAAATGACCCTGTTTACACGATTATGCACGTCGTCTGCATGTTGGCGGGCCGTTCAAACCCGTCGAAATTCAAGTTTCCGCCGTCAAAATTTTTATTTATTTATTTTTTTGTGTGTTCCAATAAAATACGTTAAGAATTAAAAACTCGTGGAATTTGAGAAGCTACCATACGACATTTAACCCTTCAATATGTCTTCAAAAAGACCATGACGCAGAGAAAGTGGTGCTAGTGCTTCCAGGCATAAGCACAAGTCACTATCTATCCAGGAAAAGGGTGAATTTCCATGGTCCGGCACCGGTCACGTCCCGAGGTTGCCGGACTAGAGAGGTACAACCTGTACTGTATGTATGTTGTGTTGTCAAAGTTAGAGGAACAATTCAAACTGCAATTGTGTGTAAATGAGGCAGAAAGTCAGGTCAGTGCTGAACCTGGGACTTGGTCACAATTTTCGTGATGCCATATGGCAGCAGGGTCTACCATTAGACAACACATTATGCTTCCAATATCTTCCCAGGCGGTAGTATCTACCTGTTTGGTAGCTGCCTACTACCTACACAATTTTTAGTAATATTACTTTGATACATGATAAATTAGACAATGAAAGTAAACATCAAATTTAATTACCATGACGCTTCCCATTGGCAGCTGTAAGAAGAGGGGGAGATGGGCTATTTTTATCCTGTCTTTGTGTCTGAAGTGGCCAGTAATACCATATATTTACTGATCATAATATTTACGGTATCTCCTATGAATAATTAATTTAAAATTTATTTTTTACATAGAATATTCAGTAAATGACTTTTAAATAAATAAACAAATAATCCAGTAAATCTATTTCAAGTAAATGGAAAATAAGCAAACAAGTGTTATTTACCACCACCCCTTCCCTCTGGCTCAGGGTGAGATGGAGGGGAGATAAAGAAGGCTATTTATAGCCCGTCTTTGTGTCTGAAGTGACCAGTACCCTAATGCACCATAAATAATTCATTTAACATTTATTTTTTGTACATATATTTTGTTGTATATATATATATATATATATATATATATATATATATATATATATATATATATATATATATATATATATATATATATATATATATATATATATATATATATATATATATATATATATATATATATATATATATATATATATATATATATATATATATATATATATATATATATAGTATATATATATGAATCTGTACACCTAGTGATTTACTTGCATATATATATATATATATATATATATATATATATATATATATATATATATATATATATATATATATATATATATATATATATATATATATATATATATATATATATATACACATACATATACACACACACAGTAGTACCCCGCTTAACGCGGTCAATAAAACCCACAGGGTACCGTGTTAAGTGAAAACCGCGCTAAGTGAACAACAGAACATATGGGATTAATTCCAATAGAAACTGGCCCATCCCCAAACTCCACTTTTTCCGACACAATACCTATGTTGTAGTAAAAATAACATCTTAATTTTATGATGGTACATGCACACAATTAATACTTAAGAGAAATAGAGAAATACAGTTTTGCCAGAGATTGGCATGTCCATTCAAATAATGGATTCACTCCCTCCCCTCTTCTCACTGCTTTTACTGGCTCTTCCGTCTCTGAGAAATTTTTTGAGAAAACCACTAAATTTTAATAAATAATACCTCAAACTAAGGATTAGGATAATACAATTGACATTGCTGTGGATTTTCATGTAAAGACCAGGAATATTTTGAATATAAATGTCATATATTTTGCACAAAAGATAACATATTTACTCAGATTAAACATTACATCTAAAATTTGTATGTCTAATGCAAAATCTATGATGTTTATATTCAAAATGATCACCAAATTGTAAGAATTCCAGCAATGTAAATTATATTCTGGCCGGGTAATTTGTATGAATTTTATGAGCTAAAACAAATATCTTCAGTTAATAAAAAAAAAATATTCTTCAGACACTATCTGTCAATCAAAGTACCCCACCTTGCCTCCCCCCTCTTCCAACCACGCGGTCAGTCCCAACCCTCCCCCCCACCCCCCACCAATCCTCCCTTCAAGAGATGTTGGGTGAAAAAACTAAATTTTAACATTTAGTATTAAATAATACCTCAGATTAAAGTTAGGATAATATAATTGACATTGCTGGATTCCTTGTAAGACCAGGAATATTTTGAATATAAATGTCATATATTTTGCACAAAAGTTAACATATTTACTCAGAGCAAACATTATATCTAAAATTTGTATGTCTAATGCAAAATCTATGATGTTTATATTCAAAATGATCATCAAATTATAAGAATTCCAGCAATGTAAATTATATTCTGACCGGGTAATTTGTATGAATTTTATGAGCTAAAACAAATATCTTCAGTTAATAAAAAAAAAATTTATTCTTCACTGTAACAGATGGTCGGTCGGTCCCTCCCTCCCCGCCACCCCCCGTCTCACCAGATGTGTGGGAAAACC